GTAATTCAGGTAACAGGTCACATTAAAGGTGCCGTTGATCAATCAATGTTGGTGTGAGGAGTAGATGTTAATCACAAAATCTTAATTAATCACGATACGTTATTATCATGTCAATAACGGTGTTATATCTATACACTTTTCCAATTTTGGCATTTTGTGATTTATGGTATATCACTAGGAAATGGCGATAGATAAATATGAAATAATTATGGATTATGATTTCTTGATGCATTAGGAATATTTTTTATTCATAATGTCTTTCTCCATCAGCATGTCTTTCGTTACAGTTGATTTTATTAAGAAAAATCGTCCAATTTTAACATTTTGCTATTTATGCCATATCACTAGAAACTGGTGATAGATAAATATGAAATAAGTATGGATTATGATTTCTTGATGCATTAAGAATATAGTTTTATTCATAACGTCTTCCTCTATCAGTTTTAGTAGTTAGATTAGAGTTGATTTTATTAAGAAAAACCGTCCAATTCTGACATTTTGTGATTTATGCTATATCTCGCAAATATGAAATAAGTATGAATTATGATTTCTTGATGGATTAGGAATATTTTTTATTCATAATGTCTTTCTCCATCAGTTTTAGTACTTCCGTTAGACTTGATTTTATTAAGAAAAATTATCCAATTTTAACATTTTGCAATTTATGCTATATCACTAGAAACTGGTTACAGATAAATATGAAATAAGTATAGATTATGATTTCTTGATGCATTAGGAATATAATTTTATTCACAACGTCTTCCTCTATCAGTTTTAGTACTTAGATTAGAGTTGATTTTATTAAGAAAAATCGTCCAATTTTGCAATTTGTGATTTATGTTATATCACTAGAAACTGGTGACAGATAAATATGAAATAAGTATGGATTATGATTTCTTGATGCATTACGAATATAGTTTTGTTCACAACGTCTTCCTCTATCAGTTTTAGTACTTAGATTAGAGTTGATTTTATTAAGAAAAATCGTCCAATTTTGCATTTTGTGATTTATGCTATATCACGCAAATATGAAATAAGTATGAATTATGATTTCTGGATGGATTAGGAATATTTTTTATTCATAATGTCTTTCTCCATCAGTTTTAGTACTTCCGTTAGAGTTGATTTTATTAAGAAAAATCGTCCAATTTTGTGATTTATGCTATATCACTAGAAACTGGTGATAGATATGAATTAAGTATGGATTATGATTTCTTGATGCATTAGGAATATAGTTTTATTTATAATGTCTTTCTCCATCAGTTTTAGTACTTCCGTTAGAGTTGATTTTATTAAGAAAAATCGTCCAATTTTAACATTTTGCGATTTATGCTATTATATCACTAGAAACTGGTGATAGATAAATATGAAATAAGTATGGACTATGATTTCTTGTTGCATTAGGAATATAGTTTTATTCACAACGTCTTCCTCTATCAGTTTTAGTACTTCCGTTAGAGTGGCTTTTATTAAGAAAAATCGTCTACTTTTAACATTTTGCGATTTATGCTATATCAGTCAAATATGAAATAAGTATGAATTATGATTTCTTGATGCATTAGGAATATTTTTTATTCATCAGTTTAAGTACTTGGGTTATAGTTAATCTTATTAAGAAAAATCGTCTTATTTTGACATTTTGGGGATTTATGCTATATCACTAGGAACAGATGAACAAACAGAAGAATAGTTAGTTGTAAGAGATATTTGGAGTTATTACTTTTTAGAAAATATAGATAATATAGGAAAATAGATTATAAGACCTCTAATTTGATTAATGTATAAAAATATGTTACACCCTGTATTTTAAAAGTTATTTGTACAGGGTCTTTAATTAAATTTGCAATGATTCGATGATCGTTTAACTCTTTAGGGTAGGTATTGCATTGAAACATCAAATAAATTCCAAATAGCTGTCATAATTAAAGTATTAAAAATCAAGTTAAAAGTTATAAATATTATGAAGTTAATTTATGACACGCTACCAACTTAATACAACATAATCTTTAGTTTAAGCAATATTTAAGCGATGTAGTTTTATGTATGAAGTTTNGCTTTTATTAAGAAAAATCGTCCAATTTTAACATTTTGCGATTTATGCTATATCACTAGAAACTGGTGATAGATAAATATGAAATAAGTATGGATTATGATTTCTTGATGCATTAGGAATATAGTTTTATTCACAACGTCCTCCTCTATCAGTTTAAGTACTTAGGTTAGAGTTGATTTTATTAAGAAAAATCGTCCAATTTTGAGATTTTGTGATTTATGCTATATCACGCAAATATGAAATAAGTATGAATTATGATTTCTTGATGGATTAGGAATAGTTTATATTCATAATGTCTTTCTCCATCAGTTTTAGTACTTCCGTTAGACTTGATTTTATTAAGAAAAATTATCCAATTTTAACATTTTGCAATTTATGCTATATCACTAGAAACTGGTTACAGATAAATATGAAATAAGTATAGATTATGATTTCTTGATGCATTAGGAATATAATTTTATTCACAACGTCTTCCTCTATCAGTTTTAGTACTTAGGTTAGAGTTGATTTTATTAAGAAAAATCGTCCAATTTTGCATTTTCTGATTTATGCTATATCACGCAAATATGAAATAAGTATGAATTATGATTTCTTGATGGATTAGGAATATTTGTTATTCATATTGTCTTTCTCCATCAGTTTTGGTACTTCCGTTAGAGTTGATTTTATTAATAAAAATCGTCCAATTTTAACATTTTGAGATTTATGCAGTATCACTAGAAACTGGTGATAGATAAATATGAAATAAGTATGGATTATGATTTCTTTTTCAATTAGGAATATAGTTTTATTCACAACGTCCTCCTCTATCAGTTTAAGTACTTAGGTTAGAGTTGATTTTATTAAGAAAAATCGTCCAATTTTGAGATTTTGTGATTTATGTTATATCACGCAAATATGAAATAAGTATGAATTAGGATTTCTTGATGCATTAGGAATATTTTATATTCATAATGTCTTTCTCCATCAGTTTTAGTACTTCCCTTAGAGTTGATTTTATTTAGAAAAATCGTACAATTTTGACATTTTATGATTTATGGTATATTACTAGAAACTGGTGATAGATAAATATGAAATAAGTATGGATTATGATTTCTTGATGCATTAGGAATATAGTTTTATTCACAACGTCTTCCTTTATCAGTTTTAGTACTTAAGTTAGAGTTGATTTTATTAAGAAAAATCGTCCAATTTTGACATTTTGTGATTTATGCTATATCACGCAAATATGAAATAAGTATGAATTATGATTTCTTGATGGATTAGGAATATTTTTTATTCATAATGTCTTTCTCCATCAGTTTTAGTACTTCCGTTAGAGTTGATTTTATTAAGAAAAATCGTCCAATTTTGACATTTTGTGATTTATGCTATATCACGCAAATATGAAATAAGTATGAATTATGATTTCTTGATGGATTAGGAATATTTTTTATTCATAATGTCTTTCTCCATCAGTTTTAGTACTTCCGTTAGAGTTGATTTTATTAAGAAAAATCGTCCAATTTCAATATTTTGAGATTTATGCTATATCACTAGAAACTGGTGACAGATAAATATGAAATAAGTATGGATTATGATTTCTTGATGCATTAGGAATATAGTTTTATTCAGAACGTCTTCCTCTATCAGTTTTAGTACTTAGGTTACAGTTGATTTTATTAAGAAAAATCGTCCAATTTCAACATTTTGAGATTTATGCTATATCACTAGAAACTGGTGACAGATAAATATGAAATAAGTATGAATTATGATTTCTTGATGCATTAGGAATATAGTTTTATTCACAACGTCTTCCTTTATCAGTTTTAGTACTTAGGTTAGAGTTGACTTTATTAAGAAAAATCGTCCAATTTTGATATTTTTTGATTTATGCTATATCACGCAAATATGAAATAAGTATGAATTATGATTTCTTGATGGATTAGGAATATTTTTTATTCATAATGTCTTTCTCCATCAGTTTTAGTACTTCCGTTAGAGTTGATTTTATTAAGAAAAATCGTCTAATTTTAACATTTTGCGATTTATGCTATATCACGCAAATATGAAATAAGTATGAATTATGATTTCTTGATGCATTAGGAATATTTTTTATTCATCACTTTTAGTACTTGAGTTATAGTTAATTTTATTAAGAAAAATCGTCCATGCTTATTTTGACATTTTGGGGATTTATGCTATATCACTAGGAACAGATGAACAAACAGAAGAATAGTTAGTTGTAAGAGATATTTGGAATTATTACTTTTTAGAAAATATAGATAATATAGGAAAATATTAGATTATAACACCAAAAATTTGATTAATGTATAAAAATATGTTACACCCTGTATTTTAGAAGCTATTTGTACAGGGTCTTTAATTAAATTTGCAATGATTTGATCTTTATCGTTTAACTCTTTAGAGTTGGTATTGCATTGAAACATCAAATAAATTCCAAATAGCTGGCATAATTAAAGTATTAAAAATCAAGTTAAAAGTTATAAATATTATGAAGTTAATTTATGACACGCTACCAACTTAATACAACATAATCTTTAGTTTAAGCAATATTTAAGCGATATAGTTTTATGTATGAAGTTTTGGGTTTTCTCTTATCTCAAGGATGACATTTCTTCAGTGTTCCAAGGGTAAAAATATTGCAATCGTCAGCTTGGGTTATACGGCTTTTTTTTTGTTCGTGGTTGTTCGTTTTACCGCTTTAGTGCTGGGATGATCGTGGGGTTGGAAGTTGATAAGAAAAATGACTGGAAATGAGGTGTTTTAACTTGATTATGACTCTTTGATAAGATTTATGATTTCCAATTTTTTCTTTATAACGGAGTAAAATAAATGACTAAAATGTCATAAATATGGATTTTTGTCGCGCAAGTTTAAGGAACTTATTTAAAGTAACTTTTTGAGTTTAAAAGTAGAAAAATGAGAAATTAAAAAGAGTACTCACCTTAATCAGAACTAACCGGCAATTTGGTGCTTCTCCTTATGAATGGTTATTCTTGGTGTTTTATAAGATGTGGAATCGTTAGAACATCCCCGTTGTTGGCCAGGCCGGCAGTGCCTGCCAGGCGGCGGCGACGGCGGCGGCGTCGTCAGCCGACGCCGGTACCGTAGTGCGACGGCGGAAGACCACCGACGACGACGACGACGGCGGCAGCGGCAGCAGCGGCGGTGGTGGTGGTGTTGGCAGCTGCGGCGTCGTTCGCGCGGTGCACGCGTCGGGGCGGCGATAGGGATAAAGGGAAGGGGAAGTGGGTTCGTGTGAGGGTAGCGTGTCCGCGCACGCACGTACCTCCGTCCTTCTGTAACGGGGGTCTACGGCGGCGGTGGTGGTCGTCGCGCCCGCGGTTGACTGCGACCCCAACGGCCCAAATCCCGCAATATCAACTCCTATCGTCGTCCCACGACCCGATGGCACACGCCGGTACCCCATTGGCCGTCCCCGTTTTTAGAAGCGCACGGGGCACTTGTTGATGGTGAAATACCGTGCAGGTGGTTTTTCTGAAAGAAAAAAAAACCATAATAAAGTTTCAATTAATCGTTTTTAAACAGTTATTAACACTTTCAAATCAGAAAATAGGTCAACATAAGTTAGGTGCAATTACTTGAATATCATTATTGCGTTTAACATTAAAATTTATATCACCTTTTTCAACAAAACTTGTCAATTGCAATGTTTGTCGTACAACCTCAACCTGGAAAGTTGACTTTAATATGAAAGTAGTAAATTGAAAAATCTGTTTCCCTATACTCCGGTGATTTTTATTTATTTATTTATTTGCTCTTACTAGTTTCGGCTACCTAGCCGTCTTCGGAGGGCTTCTACAAACAAATTACATTAGAAAAAATATTTTAAACTTTAAAAAAGACTATTTCCTCTGTAAATGTTCTATATTAAAGGTATTTATAAAGAATTTGGAAACGAAATGTTAAAATTAGAAATAAAACAAACATATTGGTTCATGGATAAAGTGCACAGATATACAGGTCATCCACGCCAACCGTCCATTAGAACTTTACAGGGTTCTGGCCAAAATAAAAATTTGAAAATTCAGATTTAAATATTATCAATTGCGTTGTCTTCGACTAACATATTTTCTTCTAAAATATTTTTTTATGAGTGACTTTACTTTTTGCTATTTGATTCGGCCGTTCTCGAGTTATTCGAATTTTTCTATAAAAATCTGCTCCAGCAGACATTTGTTCAAAAAAATCAGAGAACACTCGATTTTTGGGATATCAATTTAGGATTCAGAACATGCTTAAGCAACATGATGGAGTATGTTTTGGTGCCGAGTATGGCTGTCTAGAACGTTTGGTCACATTACTATGGCACGTTATCTTTTCGAAAGTTGAAAGTACCATAACTTCAATTCTTTAAATGGCACCCCCCCATATTTTATTACTTAGTCGTCTTCGGTGTCTCATTTTACATCTTTTATATCCCATATGTCCTATACCTAACATTTATAGTTTGGGACATAATTAGGGTTTTTTGAAAAATGCACACATATCATATCGATATTTAACCTAGTGTGTCATGAAGTGGAGGTTGGAAAATTTGCAGACTTGTGATGTTTGATGCCAGCTTTTTAACTAAAGTATTTTAGGTTCCGGGTATTTGTGGTTTCACCGGAAGAGGTTACAATTTTCATATTTCAAATGGAACACCCTGAGTTTTATAACATTTTTCAATCAAAAATGTCAACTACAACGTTACTTTTTATAATTTATAAATCTATTTTGACCGCCGGAAAAAAAATTTTGTGTTGGGAATGTTGTTGTGGTTATGTATTATCATAGGATCGGTAAGGAAAGAGTAAACAGTTTGACATTTGCTAAAGCTATGGTTTATTTCTGTTGGTGTGATGACTAGGTTACTTTTTGTAGTGATCTGTTCTCAAGAAATGCCAC